TGCGATTGTTTTATGAACTTATTGGGATATTTGTAATAAAAAAAATTTTAAATTAAGGGTACATGGTAGAGAACAATGTCATAAGGGAATTCAGACTAATATCATTATAGCCTGATGTAATAATTCAACCGAAACGATTAAATAAATGTTTTTATATTCATCGCTATCATGAATTGATTATCATTGATCTAAAAACTAATGTAATTATGCCAATTATTGATCGAAAAATAAAAAAAAAAACTAAAGCATCAGTACTTACTAATATTGTAAAATTATTGATTAAAAAACAAAAAGAACCGTAATAAAAGCCATTGGGACTTACTAATATTGCAATATTACAGCAATTATTGATCAAAAAGCGAAAGAAAACTGAATAAAAGCCATCGGCACTTACCAATGCTGTCATAATTACTAGGCCATTACCAGGCCATTATTGATTGAAAGCGGAAAGCTGTAATAAAAGCCATCGGTATTTAACTAATTTAATTCTCCAATCGGAAGTACTCCTCATTGATCACCCAATCAATGAATTTTAAATTAGAACACGTGAATTACTATTATAGTACCACTATTTAAGGAATGTCGTTCTTGATTTCATATTTATTAAAATTTTTTAGTGTGTCAAAAAGGACACTTTATTCATATCATGTGAGATTTGAACTAGTTTCGGACCTGTTCTGAACTAGTCCTACTAGTCCCTAAAAAGTCCCGGTCCGAACTAGTTCCCCGTGGACCATTTAACATCCCTAAGGGTTAACCGTAGAGTTATAGGATTAGCCACAGGGTTAACCACAGGGATAAAATGATTTACTGCACCAAGGAGATCCTTTAAAAGGTATTAACGTTAAAAGGTATATTTGTTATATATATATATATGTATATATATATATATATTATATATTTATTATTATTATTTATGTAATGATAGATACATATATAAATATATATGGATAATACGTATTTCATTCTTTATATGGTATTTTCAACTTTGATACGTGTATTTATAATATTTCAAATATTTATGAAAATTTTTAAGCGCGAACTAAGGATTAAACGAACGAATAACGATAAGACAAAGAAAGATAACGATAATAAAGAAATTAATAATAATAGCGGAACACTTACTGCGATAGTAATTTCGTCACACGTAAATATTGCGCACATATTGGCATTTGTAGATACTATAATAGGAAAATCCGGTTATTTGGATTAGAAATATCAGGCGTGTTGTTCGATAAATTTAGTGCCCGAAAATGTTGTGCCGAAATATTTGCCAAAGAGAAAAAAATTGGGGTACTCCGTTAATCCGATGTTGTTAGGTTACTGGTCACATGGACCATTAAAAAATTGATATTCGCGTCATTCTTACCATTATGTGTTACATATGATCAGCCCTTTAGCTAGGTCAGGATTAGATTACGTAAATTTTTTTTAACTTGGATTATAAACTTTAACGCAAAGAATGTTTTTTACTTACAAATCTGGCAAAATCTGGCACAAATCTGGCACAAGCCTGGCGTTTAAATTTTATTAACTTGGGTAAACCTTTCGATAGCCAATAAACGACTCTACGAATTTTATAAAAATTCTATAAACAATTCTACGTATAAAACTCGATTCTATAATATTCTATTCTATCATACCGTACAGTATAAATGATTCTATTAATGATTCTATTAATTTGAGTAAAATATATTTTATTGAACATGTTTAAATGGCTGAATGAAAAACTCGAGTTAATTAATCTCAAAATTATTATTATGACTAATCAGAAATTCAATCAAATTACTTTTGTTAATAATAATAAATTTTAATACATTATAATGTAATATTTATTTATTATCGTTATCCTCGTCCTCGCGTTAATAATAATAATAAAAAGAATTTTTATATCAGATGATATAAAATGAAAAAACCTGTTTTTTGGATCAGCCTGTTACGTGATTTTGGTAATAACACGAACTATAATTATTCTCACGAGAACCATTATAGTGCATATGCATGATGACAGTACTACACTTGCATTACATTATACTGTATATGCTTACTAGCTTTTACTAGATCTTACTAGCACTAGCACTAACACACACTAACACACACTGACACTAGAGTTTTTTTTAAACAAATAAAGTAATTAATCTATATCATATATTGATTTTTACCGATCTAAATTAATATTCAGGGTTCTTTTTTACGTTATCTGTATGAACGATCCATTATGAAACAATATATTTGAATTTTTTATTTTGATATCCCAAAAAATGTTCATTCAATAAATACTTTAAAATACTTTACGACGTTATGATCCTTTTTTTTAAAATAACTACTCCTTAAAATGCAACATTAACGTTAGGAGTAAAACAAAAGGTGAGTTTTTTAATCTGGTCATGTGGTTTAACATATGATTCAATATAGTTCAACTTACTGTTCAATTTATGAACTTATGACAATAATAACATACGATACCCTGTCTGATGATACACACGATACATACGTGCGTACGTACGTACGTATATATCGTACGTCTATACTGTACATATGTATGTAACAGGTAGAAGTATGTAGGTACGTACTGTACGTACGTACGTATGTTCTTAAAAAAAACTTTTATTACAATATTATTATTATTTACCAATGCGTTACTCCTACAGTACTTCTTCGAAATTGTCACATGCACACGTCATTTAGATAACCCGATTTGGTCATCAAGGAAAAATCATTTACTTTTATCTGTAATCTCTAAATGAGGATTATGTACAGGGAATTTGATAAAAATGGTTAAATAGTGATATAATAGCATACATAAATCAGAAAAGTTTTCCGGCTGCGGACGTTCCGAGCTGCGGTTTTCCGAGCTGCGGAAATGTATATGCTATAAGCATGAGACAAAGTGAGATCCAAAAAAAAAAGGAGATACGAGCGAGATATACGCAATATTTGAAGTTTTGTGTGCTTTATAATTATATTTGTAAAATAAATTTTTTTTTTTTTGTTTTTTTTACAAGCTTAACATTTACAAGCTTATAAGCTAAAGAGAACCGAATTTCTAAAGTCTCTTTTGAAAAATTTTTACAAATAAAAGAAGAAAGAGAATGCTATGTAGTTAAGAAGGAAAAAAAAACTTATGCTAGCTAATGACAGGAAAAATAATGACAAGAAAAAAAAATATACAAAAGCTAAAAGCTAAATAAAGCTAAATACAAAAAAAAAAATATATATATTTATTTATTTTTTTGATTTTGGTTTTCCATTTGATTTCTTCGGTCGTCCAGGAGCACCTTTTTTCTTCCCAGCAAATTTTGGCGCATAAGATTGAGCCATTTTTTCAATTGCTTTCATTTCTGCTTCAATTGATCCAAGATATTCTTCATAAGCATGATTTTCTCTTATCATTTCTTTAGCAGCTCTAAAATCTTTATCATGTTTAAACATATAATAATATTCTACTACTTCCGATGATTTCTTGCCGGTTTTCTGCGCAATACTAGTAAAATCTTTTCCGTTACATAAATATGTCGCAAGAAATATTTTTTGATTATCCGTAGTCCATCTTTTTCTTACTTCTTCTTTTGATATTGGAATCGGATAATTTGGATTCTTTGTGTTTAAAGTAGTCGCAGTTTTATCGGTAGTAGTAGTAGTAGTATTATTGGTAATAGTATTATTTTTATTTTTATTACTGTTGCTATTAGCTGCGGTCGTTTGATCTTCATTATCATACTTATTTAGCCGATCTTTCACGTGTTTATCGGCATCTTCCGTGTTTGGTCGATTAGGCCCTCCTATACATATCCGTTTTATTGGTCTACATAAATTATCATTAATAAAAGATCCGGAATAAAGTTCCGGAATTGGAGCGGCACGTTCAAGGAAATATCCAAGGGTAACTTGATTTCTAAAATTTTCTTCATTCCCTTGTTGTTCAACTGTAACATTATTTTGTGTTCGGTTTCGTGTTCTAGTTGCGATTCCATTAATAGGTAATTTATATTTCGCGAGGTATTCTTCTCGTGTTCTTTTATTACGGCGTTTAGTTTTACTTTGTTCTTTTTCAAGTGGTGGCGTTATAGGTCGATTATTATTTTCGTGCTTAAGAGAAAGTGCCGTAACATCTTCATCATAATTTTGAACGAGCGAAAATGGTACCGGTGACGCCGTTAAAGTAGTCGGTGTCACGGGATACGAGTTGGTAGTTGTCGTGATATTATCATCATTATCGGAACACGATTCCGGGAACACGGTCAGTACTGGTGAAATATTAAATGATTGTTTCCAGTTTAAATCTTCATTTTGTTTCGGATATTTAAATATTTCATTTGTATTTTTTAAAACTTTATCTTTCGTGGAATATATTTCTGGCGTATTATTACTTGATAAATGTGTCATATTTTCTATACTCTCTCCTGAAAGAAATTCCGTTTTTGATAATGGATATATTTTCGCATTAAATTTGCTCATTTTTTTTGGTGCCATAATCCTTCTTAAAAAAAATCTTCTCAAATCTTTGCCCTTTTTATCAATATTAAATCTTTTAAATCTTTTCAATCTTCTTTTAATCACCTTTTTTAAATCTTTTAATATTTTTCTTTAATACTGTTCTCTTTGAAAAAAAAAAAAATTTTTTTATATATTCCACCAGAATCAATGACGTTTATGATTTAATTTTTGTATCAGGATTTACTGATAGAAAATGAAATATTTTTCCCGATTACTATACTCATAAATAAAATGATAAAAAAAAAATGATAAAAAAAAAAAAAACAGTAAAAAAGAGTTATAGTGACAGAAGAAAAGTGATGTACGTCGATTTCACGGTTATTTAAACAAAAAATTGGGGTTCATATAAATGAGGCTTTTGTTTCAATTTTGTAAATCACCCAATCAACGAAACAACCAAACGGTAGACCCAATTTAGAAAATTCTATGTCGGATAATTAACTGCGCGCTGAAATGTTAAAATGGTAATGGAAAAGAAGTGAAGAAAATTATTTTAACTTTACTATATTTTCCCGCTGTATCGTGACGAAAATTTTCTTTTTTATTAAAACAATATCTTTTAATTTATATTAATTATTTTTTTCTTTCGGATTATTTATTCCGTTTATTGTAATTTTCTTGCTCAATCAATTTTTCATATTCTCCCATTCTCAGGTGACTATAATATGTTCTATTTTTTTTTATTTGATTATCTAATTTTTTTTTTTTTTTAATCTCTAAATACTGTATAACAATTGTTATTTATTATATTTATTACACTTTCAATTTATCAAGAAATTTCAAGAAAAAATATATCAATAATAAATATTATTACGTATCACGTTTTTTTTCTTCCTTTTAAATGTTAATATATATATATATATATATAATAAATTATACGTTCGTAAAAAAAAAAAAATCATTATATATTTGATGAAATTGCACGTGGACAAAAAAAAATTCTTACACTGAGCATAATTTTAAACTTTCATGCGTAATCACCTAGATCGACATTCTTTTTACTTCTCTATATTCTTACATTATGATTACACATTAACCTTATATATAAACACTGATGCGGTATATATATTTATTTATTTATGTATATATTGTATATACTGTATAGTAATTTATTGTTAGCAGTTATATACCTGATACAGTACATATATACTCACGTACGTATATACGTACTTATTATACAATCAAGGCATGTGATAACGTTGAGATTAATAATATTGTTATAAGTACAGTACGTATCGACGTAAGTACTGAACACTGTATCAAATACTGTATCAGATATATCAGATATCAGGTATTATACTATCAGATATACTACGTACGTAATATCTAACAGCCAAGTTAATTAAATGCGCTCATTGAATGTGATCAATATTTTAAAGTGATTCTTACAATATATTTGATCTGCAATAGTAATATATTGAACGCGTATAATAATTTGTTTACGCGTATATTTTTGAATTAAGTTATTTCTTATTAAGTTTTTCTTATTAAGTATTTCTTTTAAAATATTCATAAATACAAGTCACTCTCGTCATAATGAATTTTTGTTATAGCGAACCACTCATTATAGTGAAGACCAATTTATATAAAATGTCTCAATATACAGATTTAGTGAATTTACTAACACTTTCTATAACGAGAGTGACTAGTATTCTTAGATCACTCTAGAATTACTCTAAAATTATCTAATTAGATTTATAGTAACATATTTGTCAAATTTTGTAATATAACCGTTACAATTATTCTCAAAGAAAACTTCGTTTCTCGCGTATCTGCATATCTGAATATTCGCGTATCTAAAGAGTTTTTTAACTTGATATTTATGTTTTAACCGTGTTCAATTTCAATCAGTAAATTTTATTTTTATAGTATTAAATTTTCGATTTGATATAATTTACATATTATTAAAAAAATCAATTTTGCATGACTTGTAAACTTGTTATAACCATTTTCAAAAAGTTGTAGATCACAGTAATATACACGAAAATTACAGTTATTCTTCAAAATATAATATCATTGGCAAAGTGTTGTATTTATATTATTATGTTTACACCATTCATTTTTTGTATTTAAAAACAAAACGGACAATCCTCGCTATTACCTGACTTATAGCAATAAATACGATCTATATGTCCACACCCTGGAAATTTTATGGGTACTTGCACCATACATTTGGTTGTACAAGGCTGTGAACACATTTCTTTGCACTAAAAAACATATATATAAACGTTAATAATTATTTATAGTGTATCTATCTATTTATATTATTTATATGTAAAATACTAACCTGATGTCCACATTTTAATTTTTTAGTGCACTTTTCTGTACATCGATACTTGCCAGGCGCTTTGATCAAATAACATGGAACTTCTCTTGAGTGCCCACAAGGTGGATCAATCGAAATAGTTTGATCACAATGTCCACACGGTTCTCTGCATTTTCTCGTACATTCATGCCCACATGGAAACTTTCGCATACATGGTCCCTATATTAAAATGGAATGGATATATACTTATTAATACTATTGAGCTGTTCATAATTATTATTATTATTAGCATTGACATAATCTAAAATATGATATTTTAAATAAAATATCTAAAATAATATATAATAATGTAATACATACCCAACATTCAACTCGATTTTCATGTGGATATATATGACAGTCCAAAGGACATTTCTACGAAAATGTAATCATAAGTTTTAATAGAGCTATAAAAAAAAAAGTTTATTAAGATAAATTTAATGACCTACATGTCCACATTCCATAATTTCTTCACATTTGCCTGCACATCCACCTAACGGTGGAATATCCCCTGCAAATGTAACTTTAGTTACAACAAGTTTTTC